TCGGCCCCCGCGGGTAGCGCTACGAACCCTTCCTCATCCACACGCTAACGCTGCGCTCGAAAGCACGGCCTGACTCAGGCATTGCCCTTGCCGTCATTCAGATCCAGAGTGAACAGCAGGATGAAGGACGGCACGGATGGCTCCAGCTCCCGCACAGGCCTGGCAGCGCTCGGCCGGGCCGTGTTACCCACCCTCCGGCGCCTCCTTTTCCCACTGCTCCTCCGAGGAGCCGTCCCGTTCCCGTGCGCCGGGCGCTCGGCGGCACAAGGACACGTTATTTCCGCGCCAGGCGGTTCCTCCAACCGGCTTCGTGCGCGCGGCCTCCAGCCCCATCCACACGGGAACTGGGCATCGCTTGAACCCTAAATCCCCTGGAAAACCGGCCAGGCCAGGCCAGGCTGCGGAGAGAGGAGCAGCCCTGGGGAAAGGCCGGTCCACGAGGCCGCACATCCCCCTCCTCATCCCGCTGTGCCCGGAGGGATTTTTGGATCCAGCAGGAGGGAGGCCACGGAATGGCCCCAGGGCCCAATTGAACGGGCAGCTCCCAGCACAGAGATTCCCATAGGGAGGATTCCAGCATCCCGCAGTCGCATCCAGCCCTTGGTTGCCAGGTCCTTCCCGCCTGCTGCATCCTCTGCAGCTTCCCGAGTCATCCCGCCCTTTCCCTGGCACCGGGGCAGCCGCCATCCATGTGGAGCGGGAATTGGCTCAGCTATGTGGCCAGGGAGAAGCTCCTCTTCCAGACGGAGGAGTCGGAACAGGGATAAACAGGGCGACTTCCTGCCGGATCCAGCCTGGCAGAGCGCCGGGAACATCGCCGCAACCTTCCTGTTCCTTCCCAGCCTTGCCCTGGCCCATCCTGTGGCGAGAAGCCCCAGGATTTTTTCCTCCTTATCCAAACGCAATCCCAATAAAGCTACTTCCCTGCCAGGACAGGGGTTTTCAATGCTCCCTCTCGACTTTCCGCCGTGAAACGGCTCAAACTCCCATTCCCAAGGCGGGCATCCCTTGGAGGCAGCTCACCTGTCCCAAACCCTCCACTTCCCTTCACTTCCCTTTATTTTCCACCACTCCCGACGTAGCCAGAGCCCCACTCGGGGGCTAATTGGGATCAGCTGCTCCCTATTAATTTCATACTTCAGGAGTGGCCGCACTTGGTGCTCGCCAGCCCCAACCGCACTGACAGTTTCAGCTTTGGACACGGTTTATTCTTACGAGGATGTAAAGGGAGGACAGGAAGGGGTTCGGAGCCACCGGGTCCATCCCAGGTCTCAGGGGCAGCCCTGGCCCTTCCCAGGCCCCGGGAGAAGGGCAGAAATCCCATTCATTTGGGCTATTTTATCTCGGAGACCATTTAAGGGTGTTTTCTGCGGGTGGATGGGGGCAGGGATGCGCCTGGAGCCATCCGTTAATCTTTACACAGAGACAGGAGCCTTTTTTTGTGCTCGAGGAGGGGGTTTCGGGGAGGGGGATAAAGCCGGGCTCCCTATCCGATGCTGCTGCCGCATTCCCGGGATGCGGCGCATTTTACGCCGGCAGAGATTGTTAAGAACTGGAAAAATAGTTCAGGGAAAGAAATTAAAAAATAAAAATAAATAAAAAGGAAGATTTGCTGAATTTGCTCCCGCCTCCCCTCCCCCACGGCAGCCGATGTGAAGGGACGTTTGTGTCCCAGCCCCGTTTGTGTCCCAGCCCCGTTTGTGTCCCAGCCCCGGCAGCCCCCGCGGCAGCGAGCTGGGATCCGGGATAACCCGGCACAAGGCCCGGCCCCGGGCCCCTTCCGAGGGCCAAGGGAGGAAGGGGGAGATGTTGGAGGGCTCCCGTGGGGGTCCCTGCTCCTGTGCTCCCAGTGACAAGATGCTCGGCGGGAGGCAGGTCCTGCCGCATCCGTCTCCGATGTCCTGCACACGGGACTGGGACTCGGGTGCTCCCCTTGCGCAGGAAACGGGAAGGGCTGAATCGACCAGCCAAAACTGCCTCTTCCAAGAATTTCCACCTTTCTTGAGAGCAGAGGGTTGGAGAAACACGCCGAGATGCCCAGCTGGGACACAGCCCCGCGAGCTGCCCTGGCACCCCCTTCCCTGCAGCCTGAGCCGGGGCTGGGTTCGATACCAGCTGGGCCCAGCGGCACCAGGGAAAAGGCGACGGAGGCGCCCGGATTTCCGCCCTCTCCCTGTTTCCAGGTTTTGCCGCCTTTGCCGGGCGGCTCCCCCGGCACTCCGGGATGCTCCTGTAACCGGACACCCGGAGCAGAGGTGTGAACGCAGCAGCCCCATCCCCGGGGGGGTGAAACACGGCCGTTTCGGGGGGGTTTCACCAGCGTCCGCGACTCCAGACCCCCCAGGTCCCGCTCGGCTCCTCCGGGCTCCATCCCGCACGCGGCTCCCCACGAATCCCTGCCCAGCGCCCAGGGGAGGCATTCGAACCCAAATGCCTCATTTTGGGCTCACAAAGAGAGGGACAGGCAGCCCTGGAGGAGCCCTGTTAGTCTCCTGTCCTGCCGAGATTTTAATCTCTTTGTGATCAGATAAAGGGCGAGAGGGCTGGAGACGCTGGGGCCGCACACCCTGCCGAGAGGGGCCATTCAGACCTGGTTCCTGTAATAAAGTGATTTAATAGATCTAAAGAGGCCAATTCCCTTCTTTCTCCCACAATTACTTCCTGAGGGTCATCACTCACACATGTAAATGGCGAGGGGAAGGAAGGGACTCTCAGCGCTCTGCTAAACCCCAACCTCTGCACCGGGGCACCCTCAGTTTTGGCTTTTGCCCTTCCAGGTCCACCTTGCTGCCCGGGAAGCAGGGAGGGCTTCGGAGCGAACGTTCCCGCTCCCCATCACCACATCCCTGCTCCTCTTCCCAAAGCACCAAACACATCCCAGCGCTTCCCATGCCCAACAGCGGCTCCCGGGGGGATGCTGCGAGTTTGCGACCTTCCCCGGGACCCCCGTGCGATTCCCGTTTCCCGCAGGACCGCGAGCAATCCGCAATCTCAGCCGGCCGGTGCCAATAAACGCAGGCCGGCCCCCCGCGCGTGGCACCCGGTTGCGCTCATGTGCACAGCCCCGTTTT